TGGCTTAATGGATGCAAGAAATCACAAGGGATTCTACAGGACAGAATGGCAGTGGCAGGGTTTTCTTTTCTTTTCTTTTTTTTGCAGGATAAAAAGATTTTAAAAATAAATATTGGACACAGAGAAAGAGTCATTAGAAAGGGGAAGATTGAAAATCCAAGGAAGAATGCCTTCTTCCCTTCATTTTGCAACTCCCTGGTTGCTAGATTTCTTCCTACTTTTCAACACTGTTTTCAGTGCTTTAGATACTAGCCTCTTTTCTCTTTTTACTCTGTACCTTCTTAATTACTCCATTGATTTCCATTTCGAATAACTTCAGCTCTAGTCCTCAGTTCTTTTCTGAGCTCTTGTCTCGTGGGACAACTTCACAAGTGTTTCACTCTAAAGATGCACTAAACTGAGTTCATCTCCCTTCCTCGCTCTTGTATCCATCCCTCCTCAAGTGTTCCCTATCTCAGTAAATGATTCCTATGCAATCAATTGTTTAAATCAGACATTTCTTTAATTTTTCCATGATTTTTCTCACTACTGTTTACGTTCAACATCTTATCAATGAGCGTAATCCATCAATTCTATTTTTATATAATCTCTGCATATGTCCCCTCTATCATACAGATCCAAATAACCATCATTTTTCACCAGTCTCCAGAATGGTCTTCCTGCCTTCATTCTGGCCTCACTATAGTTTTTTCTTTACAGCAGCCAGAGTGATTTTCTTAAAATAGAAATCTGATAACGTTGTTACTAGGTTTATAGCACTTCGCTGGTTCTCTTGTAACCAATAGCATAATAAACTCCTGAACAACACTTCTTTTGTATTCCGGCCTCCATTTAACTTTCTGTCATCATCTCGGACCATCTCTCTCTATAGTGACCACTCTCTGTGTGCACAACATTCTCTGTTGTTTCTGTGACCTCGCACATGTGTTCCTTCTACTTGGGAGACTCTTGGTTATTCTTCAGATCTTGAATTATATGTAACATCTTCTGAGAAAAACTTTCCATAATTCCTTTAAGGCAGGAATTGATCCCTAATCCCTAACAATTAGGAATTCCCTTTTATTTCCCACTGCATTCTTTCCAAACTTTTATTTTTGGTTTTTTTTTGTGCAGTTTAATAATTGCTTTGTTTGCTAGTATTCTCTCACAGACGTAAGCACCATGTAGACAGACAACACTTCATCATAATATCCCGTAATATTCCACAATCCAGAGCACAGAGTAGGAAATATTTGATAACGCAAATATAAATGGTGAGTGATTGTGTGAAGAATAGAGATTGTTATTGGAGCAATATTCTGCAGATTATTGGGTTGGGAACAAATAGAGAGAAGCTTTAGACTTAGAAATGAGGAGATGTCAGTTTTTCCCCAGAAAGGAAGAAAATAAAAATTGAGGAGTGAAGGAAGGAAAAGGAGGGAGTTCTTACGAAATGGCCTTGGTCTTATCAGTATAGTAAATAAGTCCATCTTTGGAGAATAAGTGAGATTTTGTACATTAGTTGATGTGAAAACAATCAGAATGATTTTAAATAGTTGCTAATAATAAATCTATGGTGAGCCACTAAATAATTCTTTAGGAACACTACAATTCTTGTTTAGGATAAATAGCTTAAATTTATAGCACATCCATTTACTATGATTATATAATTTTCTTCATCCTTGCTTAGGTATGGGGAGAAGGGAAAAAGGGTTCTGGGGCTTTGTAAGACAGGTACAGTGAAGGTTCAGAAGGCCAAGAGGTTCTAGGATGATAAAGAAGATGATTAGGATGTTCAGATTGGATAAAGAGGGGAGTTCACCAGTGAGGGGAAGAATAGACTGACAAAATAAGAGAGAAGGGTAAGAGGACAAAATATAAGAAGGAAGGGGAGGACAAAATTTTGGAGATTGAAGAAGCAGAAAATGACTAGTGAGCATAAGTTTTGTTAAAAGAGAAGATTTTCTAAGTTGGAAAGAAGAATGTCTCCTTTTAAATTTTTGCAAGACATCAGCTAGAGACCTATTTTATTTTGAAATAGGAATGAATGTATTTCCAAGTATTAGATATAACCTAAATTTCTTGAAGAGAAGTTGCATTAAATTGACGTTGTTTTTCTTTGATATTCTCTTTTTCTATTTTAATACATTTGGCACTTATTTACCACATAGAACTTTATTTTAGGGCTACATCTGAAGCTATGTCAAACTGTTAATTCACCTACAAAATCCTCCATGCCTGTAGTATCGGATATTAAAAGAGAGACTAAGATTGAAGGCCCTTCCAACAACAGAGAGGGAGACATGATGTTTGATAACACCTTCTCTCATGCCCACACACCAAGTTAAGAGAACATGTAGAATATTGTTCACTTTATTGTCATTTTTGTGCTTCTAACATCACTTTTCCTAGATTGTAGCTTTCTGAGAACAAAGGATATATATTATTCATTTTGTTTGCTCCACATTGTCTTGCGTGCATTTGTGATCAAATAAAAGATAGTTGGATTTAATTACTTGACATTCTTTAAGTTATTCAACTGTTTTATATGAACAACTACACTAACTAGGGGGTAAAATTAGACCAACCTCTCCATTGCTCCAGTAGTAAAGTCGAAGAATGTATGATTTTTCATTTGAATTTTGTTTCTGGATTATAATGAACCCAAATCAAAATAACTGAATTTGAAATAAACCAAATTTGAAAATTACGCATCTGAGATCAGAGAAGTAAGAGTCTTGCCAAAGGTCACAAAAGTTGCAAGTGACTGAGCTGAGTCCTTTCACATGTATGTTTGTGTTATACATGTGCGTGTGCATGCACATGCACACACACATATGCTGCATTTATAGGAGCCTAAGTTTGTCAGTGTGGTAATAATTCTTTGGTTTTTCACGCTGTAATTCCTACCATGTCACGTTAATTATTCTGCTCACCATTCATCATGACACAAACACATACACACAAATATATTTATGTATGAACAAGTAAACATTTATGAAGAAAAATAAGCTTTGCAACAATTAAGATTAAAATAATGTATTATTTTATGTATCTTTTAAAAATTCTAATACTAAGTAATTCCAACTTTTAAATTATTATTCTCCTACCCTTATTCCACTGGCACACTGAACTTTAAATGTGAATAGGTAATATTTCATATGTTTTACTTTACTTACAGAGCCTGTATGATTTGCCTGAGAAGGAGAGTAGAGTACAGCCCTGTGAAAATACTAAGTGCTTGGTCCCAGAGCAAATGTTAAAAGAAGGTTACAAGCACAGAACACATGATAATGATGATTGTTCACGGGTGTGTAGATTAGGACTCAATAACATGGATAAAGCTAGTTTCAGGGTTCTGATCTCTTTCCTAGTCTCTTAGGTATGGCGCTGACCTGTGTGTGTACATTTCATTGTTAACTTGATAACATAATACACCATGGGAGTAGAGGTAGCTTATTGTAAGAATTTAAATACCTGCAACGTCCTAAGTGCTTTCAGTGAGACAAACTCAGCTTCTTAGTATATTACATGTTAAAGCCATGAAACTATTACAGATTTTTATATAGTTAGTATGAGCCACAACCATATCAAGCCAGGTATTTACAACAGTATTTTTTGAAGTGGGGCTCTAAACATCGCTAATATATCTTCCGCATAATCTAGGCTGTCTCATTTTTTCCTTTTTTCTTTCCTTCCCTCTTTGCACAGATATTCATTGAATGCTTACTATGTTTTAAGCTCTAGGCTCAAAGCATCAAATAAAACATGCCAAGTCTCTTTTCTCTAGGAACTTATATTCCATTGCGGGGGGCAGGGAGACAGACAATAAGCAAATGAAGGTTAGGTAGAGACAGAGACATGTATCACAGCAGGTGTTTAATAATATTAGGAAGAAAAATAATGCATGAAAATAAAGAAAGAATGACCAGGAGTTAGGATTTCAGGGCTTTAAATAGGTTAGTCAACAAAGATCTCTTTGTTAATGTAATATTTGAACAAAGACCTGAGTAAAAGTAGAAATTCAGTCTTTAGGATATATGAGGTCACAAAGTTACATAGGGAGGAAAAATTTGAGGTAGGACTGGGAATTCTTGGCTGAGAACAGGAAGGAGGTTGATATGGCTGGCTAGCAGTAAGTTAGGGAAGAAAGGGTAGGTAGAAGAAAAGGCATGTGAGGTAGCAGGGACCAGATCATAAATGGCTCCCGGTCACTAGGAGGATTTTATATTTTGTTGTGAGAGGTTTGGAAAGATATAGGGGGGTTTAGAAAGGAAGTGACATATCAGAGGTTCACTCTGGCTGTCGTGCGAAGAAATAGACCGAAGTTGGTAAGGTAGCAACACGAAGACTAGTAGGGTCTATTGTTGGCAATGGTGGTCTGGGAGAGTTGAGTAGTAAAGGACGTGGTAAGAAAGGTGATGAATAGGAATGTACTATAGATAGAACGTGGGATGTGAGAGACAGAGAGGACTCAAGGGTGGCTCCAGGGTTTTTGGCTTGAGTACCTAGTCAATGACATTGTCATTTACTTAGATGGGAAACAACAGAGAGGATTTGTTTTTGTTGTCGTTTTATGGGGATCTTATCTCTCCCCTCCCACCCAGTCTTTGCTGGAAACTGGAATAGAACAATTGGTAGTTTGATTTAAACTATTTTATGCTTGAATGGAAGAATAACAATGTTGATGGCAATAAGTAATATTTAATAGCACTTACAGTTTGGAAAATATTTTAATATGCAGTAATGTATTTGCATTATGTGATCACACTAAGGATTTCTGCACCTACTCCTAACTATCCAAAAAAGAAAGTCATGAATTTTTTTGAGCTATAATGTGATTTGTAACATACTTTAAAATGCATAAAGAATAGTTCACATGTGCTGAACAAAGTGGACTAAGGAAAGATTAGTTCTTGAAATATGTCAAATGGGAGTTAAGAGAAAGTGAAAATGGACTGTAATGGATGGTATTATTTATCCAACTTGAATTAATATGTATGCTATAATTTGTCTCTCAGATCCGAGGTTCATTAGTGCCCACCTCATCCCAGAGAGTGACAACCCTGAAGATGACAAAGTATATTTTTTCTTCCGTGAAAATGCTATAGATGGAGAACACACTGGAAAAGCCACTCACGCTAGAATAGGTCAGATATGCAAGGTGAGGTAAAAAAAAAAAATTGAGAGAATATCATTGTCCAGTCACAGTTTTATTTCTTTTCCACCTATGTGCAAATACAATGAAAAACATGGCTAAAAAACTTGATGATCACTATAAATATTTAGGTGATAAAAAATGATTGAAAGCATAGTTGCTTATGAGTAACTCGTCATAGTTAAACATGCAGGTAGAGCAGGTGAGGCATTATTTCACAATCATGTTAAATGATCTTAGTTTGAAATTCTAGAGAAATAAAATCTTTTCATATCACCTGGGAGAATATACTTTTTTGTATTCTCAGACCTAGCACAGGTTTTCTACAATGTGTACATTTTGAATGAAACTTTGTTGTTGGAATAACTAAAGTGTTAATATAAGAGAGAAAAGCGTTAAAGCTTATTTTTATAAATTGATCATAGCATCTTATGTACACAGACATGCACACACACATGTAATTTTGAAGCTTTGAACTTTATCTATGTGAGGTAATTCATTTACTATGTGGCACAAAATCAGATGTAATATTGCATTATAATGCTATGTAGAAAAAAATTGCTCAATAATTTCTTACAGATGAATTAGTATTGGTGTGAAGATATGATAGCAGTACTCGTCTTTCCCTCCAGACTGTACAGTGCAGTGTATAAGCAATATGAATAAAGCCAGCTGTTATTATATATTAGGCACCTTTCATCTCAGGAAAATCACAAAGTCAGATCCAGTAATTGTTTTAAAATGGAATTCTTCTGGTTTTCTTTCTTTGAGGAAGGTTAGCCCTGAGCTAACATCCGCTGCCAATCCTCTTTTTTGCTGAGGAAGACTGGCTCTGAGCTGACATCTGTGCTCGTCTTCTTTTATTTTATCCGTGGGATGCCTCCCACAGCATGGTTTGATAAGGGGTGCATAGATCCGTGCCTGGGATCTGAACCAGCGAACCCCGGGCCGCAAAGCAGAGCACACAAACTTAAACGCCATGCCACCTGGACAGCCCCTGGAATTCTCTCTTTTTAAGACAATATTATGAAATTTTAAAAATCTCTATTTTTGGGGGGTATCCTCTTTTCTACTCCGATTACCATCTAATTATTTATTTCTAGTATAGTAAATTACTAGAAATGCAAAAGTTTTAACTGTCTGGAAACATATAAATAATATGTGAAATATATGAGAATCTTTTCTCCACAAGATATAGATCATATTTAAAAGCACTACTTACAAGGGTTAAAAAAACTTTATAGTATATAAAATCATAAAAACGAAATGTAAATCGCTGTTATAATTTTGAAGTAACATTTATATTCCTTCATATATATGCACATAAATTATATTTTTAAATTTTTGAAAGACTGTAAGTGACCAGTGAATATATACCATCATAATAGAATTTACTGCTACATTAGGTTAAAATTAAGTTTCATTTTCAGTGAGGGGACACTTTTTCAAAATGTTTTCTCTGGAGTAAGATTCCTTTATTAAGGTTTATGCTAATATTTTTTCAACATGCTATTTGTATAGTTAGAATTGTATCACCTGTTTAAGCTTACAAAATATTCATTGCTAACGTGCTTTTATTTGGGAGGTATTTTCAGTGTGAGTTATAGGGAATGTTTTATTCTTCCACTCAGTAAATACTCATTAAGTGCCTGCTGTGTGCTAATGTGTTCACTACTGTGAACCAACCTACTTAAGTAAGATCTCAAGAAATGCACATGTAGGGTGGAGAAACTTAAGCCAAACCAAAACAACCATGAGAGTAATAATTATTCATTGCAGAGTGATGACAGAATGGAATAAGTAAAATAACTTTTTAATGCTAAGGGACATTTATTGTAAGTCATCCCTGGAATAAAGTTGGAGTAAATAGATGTTTAACAATACAATGAGAAAGCATAGTTACTTGTATCTAGTCATTTACAATTCCTCATTCCTTATTTTGAAAAATGAGTAATTGTATTTTGTATGTGTCTTAAGATTTGAAGATAAAAGAAATATTTGAAATCATCATTACCATGCACAGTTTCTAAAACCAGTGTTTCCTCCTTTCAGAATGACTTTGGGGGGCACAGAAGTCTGGTGAATAAATGGACAACATTCCTCAAATCTCGTCTGATTTGCTCAGTGCCGGGTCCAAATGGCATTGACACTCATTTTGATGAATTGCGTAAGTAGCTGATGTTGTACAGAGAATATTTGTTCAGACTTTGCCATAACCATCAAAAATGCAACTTTCCTCAATTTTGTTTTCAAACAGAGGATGTATTCCTAATGAATTCTAAAGATCCAAAAAATCCAGTTGTATATGGAGTGTTTACAACTTCCAGGTAAACAACTTTTTACTGACTTACTGTCATAGAAACTTCATGTCCTTTACGTGCTTTCCAAGTATTCACAATTTGTGAAAACATGTTTTTGAAATAACAATGTTGACTTAATCTTTGAGCAGTTGTGCACTCTTGGGTGGCTGAAATAAGTTATGACCTAAATATTTTTTAATGAATTTTAGCAAAGAATATCATCACTATAAATAGAATGGTGAAAACCATATGTCATGTCCTATTTATGTATAGCTTTGACTTTAAAAATTTCAGTGAAATGTTGAGTATTATAAAAATGCAGATCTGAGTTCTGATAAGACTTTTTAGTGATATAAACTAAGGGTGGAAAGACTTTTCCCTCTTCTCTGGCTCTTCTCCCTTCTTCTCCACCTCCTCTTCCTCTCGCACCCTCTCTCTCTTTCCCTCCTTCTGTCTTTCTTCACCCTCTCCTCCCACTCCTCCTGTCCCCTTTCCCCATCTCCCCGAAGGCCCTTGCTGTCAATCAAGCAGCAATTATCTCCTGACTATTACATTCAATATAAAATTTATGTTATCTGAAGTTGTTAACAGGAACATATATTTGCATGCATATAAATAGGGATATGCAGTCGGATAAGGATAAAATGTTCACAAGAAAAGTAAATTAGAATCAAGTCAGGAAAAGTTCTGCAATGGACTGTGATGGTATAAAGAGAAAGATTAACTGCATGTCCAACACTGATCTGTTCTGTATTTATTAATGCCATTACAAATTGATTGACATTTTTACTTAATAATTTTAAAAATAACATGTGGAAATTGAGAAACCCATATTACTAAAACTATATGCAGTTTCCCATACCTAAATATTTCTCCCCTTGGTATAAAAACAAAATGACAACTAAAATAAAAAATGTGAGGGGCTCAAATTAAATAACCCTTAATCTGATTCTTCTGCTTCCTCATTGCTTAGGACAGTGGTTCTCAGCCTTGAGAACGCATCAGAATCACCTAGAGAGCATGTCAAAATACAGATTGTTAGTCCCTACCCCCAGAGCTCCTGATTCAGTAGGAATGGGATGGGGCCTAAGAACTTGTATTTCTAACAAATCCCCAGGTGATGCCCATGCTGTTGATCTAGGGACCGCACTTTAAGAATCACTGGCTTAATGGGTAGAATAATTTTACCCCTCTCCTTCAGTGAGGCGGAAGTCTACAAGTTAGTCTTCACAGCCGAGTCATGATAAAGTCTTTCAATGATAGCTGATTTTATCAAGAAAAAAGCAAATTATATAACAATGAAAAGGTACATACAAAACTTACAAACTATGATGTAGCAAATATGTGTTAATTTGCTATTCTATTATGAAAGTATTGTTATTAAATTCTATAAATATTTACTGAGATTTACTGTGTGTCAAGTGCAACATGTAATTGATCTTACAGAAAAGAAGCCAGGCATGGTTTCTTCCCTCGTGAGGCTTGCACTCTACCAGACACTGTTTATATGCAGCAGTTTCTGATAATAAACTCTTATGAACACGTGTTTTTCATTTGGTCTGATTTATATGGAATTTTCTATGAGGAGAGATCGGTTAAAAGATAAGCATTCCATATTTTAAATGTGTACAACTGTTTTATATCTTTGTGTAAATACATCCCTCAAGCAGTGTTTATGTAAGCAAAATAAAACGGAAAATCGTGGCAACTCATGGCAAACTTCCAGTTTGTTCAGTTACCTGATTTTGTCTAGTAAAATACTGGGGATAATTGCCATAATACTCCACTTTGACTAGGGTGTAATAGGTACTAATGTAAAACCATTTTCTGCTTTGGGAAGAAATGATTTTAAATGCCTTCATACAAATCAAACTCTGTTACTTGATCTAATACTTTTGGTGGTTTTGGAATTTAATATAATGTAACACATCATTTGACATTGACTATTCATTTTCTGTACTACTTTCAGCTTATAAAATGACTTCTTACAACATTCTTGCTTACTTAAAAGTTCCCTGGTTTCAGTAATGATGTTTGAGTCTTAACATATTACCAAAGTTTATATTTTCCTTTCTATATGATATCAAAACTAAACATTACTTTTTAGACAATCATGTATATATGTTTTTCCTATCAAAGTTTATATATGATATAAATGTATATAGTCTATGAATACTAAAAATGGTTTCATCCATGCCTTCTACTTTTGAGAAATTATAATTTTTCTTTTGTATATTGTTAAAATATATACATGTAACTAAAAAGAAATTCCCAAAAACTGTCTGAGATTGCTAAGAATTTATGTTCATGTTTTGATAATTGATATATGAAATTTAAAAACCCAGTAGCAACAGTTCTCATGCCATTGTATAAAGTTGAAAGTCTGTTTGTGTTCTCTGTCTCTTTTTTCAGTAACATCTTCAAGGGGTCAGCTGTGTGCATGTATAGCATGAGTGACGTGAGAAGGGTGTTCCTTGGTCCGTATGCTCACAGGGACGGTCCCAACTATCAGTGGGTGCCTTATCAAGGAAGAGTCCCCTACCCACGGCCAGGAACTGTAAGTGGCCTAGGTGTTTAAAATATAAAACAGAAATTTTTGCTGAAGGTTTAAAAAAAAGTAGCTACCAAAAAAATGTTAAGTACAGGTAATGTAAAACGATTCCAAGACTATAAATGAAAGCAAGATAAGGGTTTTCTGTGATACAATGGAATTCTACATTTAAAAATATGCTTTGTACAGACTTTGTGTTCAGTGCTTATCTGTTATTAATACTCGGAGTTTTTGAGAAATAGAAAGCGAATGAGCAGACTTATTTATTTTCTTTTCTGCATGGATTGTAGTGAAAGTGGCCTTCAAAAGAGTTGAAACAATTAAGATACACCTGGACTTGTTCTATCTAATCATAGCAAAGGCTCAAGGATTGCGCATTAAATAGGAGAAAAAAAGTTTTTAGTCGATGTTATCTTCCCACGGAAATGGGACAGACCCCTCACTACTTGATATGTGAAAGAAGATATGCAAAAAAATCTCATAGCAAGAGCAGAGCCTAGATATTTTAACAGACACTGTCTACTCTCACCAGCCCTTTCCTTTTCCCTCCAGCAACCCTGGACACATTCAAGCTTAAAAAAAATTGGACAGAAATCAAAATAAAACCAGCTTTGAATCTTTAATTTAAAGTAGGGAGAAAAAAAGAAAAAGACTTAAATATGGTTGAAAATTAGTGAAGTCATCATCAATATGATGATGTCAAAAGTAAAAGAATATCTAGATAGAATGATCCACTTAAGTAGAACATTTTCTAATCCTAAGAATCTTTAAGGAAATTATTTCATATAACTTGCATTTGAAGTTTAGCCATTACTTTACTTTAACTTCAGGGTTTTTTATTCTGTTAAATTCAAGTACATTATGTTCTTATATGATTTTATTAGACACACGATGCTTTTAATATTCTTGTTATTTCTGTATTGCTAAACTTATTTATGAGCAAATTGAGAATTTTACCTTTTATTACTTCTAGCTGATGGATCTTGTAGGTTAAAAAAAACCTTAGTTAACTTTCAGAAAAATAAATGAACAACATGGAATATCTCTTGATTATATGAAGTCAAAAGGGTTTTATAAAAAGTCTAAGGTATTTATCCCATTTCCTAATGGTAAACTGTTTTCACTTTGTTGGTGGACAGTTTTTTATAGCTATAGTTGTTTATATCTGTGACTAATTAATGCGAGTGTATTCTAAATATAAACCAACTCTTTCTAGGTTCACTTCAACAGACTTGGTGGAATTCCTTCAGTGTGCCAGATATTGTGCTAATATTTGCTATAAAGTTTTTGATCTAAAGATGTGTCCAATATATTTGGAATTAGTAGTAGAAATTAGAAATTATTGTGTGCCAGAACTTGTTCCAAGAAATTTATACCTATTTATATATATTACACTTAATAGTCCAGGTTTTGTTCGCATTTCACAGATGGGGACTCCGAGGCAAGGAGAGGAGCCAGGATTCAGTCCAGGCAGTTTGGTTCCGGAGCGTGTGTTCTCACTTACTCTTCATAGAGAGTTGTTATAACATGAACTATAGGCACCAAATGCTAGAGGCAGAAGGCAGAAAGTATTGCCTAATCTAGGAGTTAGAGTTAGAGAGGGGCTGCTAGGAGGAGATAACACCTAACTCCATGAATAAAATTCACTTGGGATGAGTTCATTAATCCCCAAAAGTGGCAGCCGAGAATGTGTCATTCCGTCAACCCTACTGAAGAGAAGCATATTAAGTGACCTTCCAACAATGTGGCAGTAGAATGGCATTTTCTTTATTTTAAAGAAAAATCTACAGCTCTAGATACAGAAATAAAAGGAGAGTAAGGCAAGAGAATGAGACAAATTGTAACAAAAATCTATAATAAATAAATCCCTCACTTTAATTTTCAATCACGTATTTCTAAATTTTTGCGAGCTATTTTTAAATGGTAGTAGAAAAGCAAAAACATAATTTTAAATTTCATAAAAATATTTTATTGTTTATTTTAGGAATTTATAGAAATATTTGATATTTCTGTAACATTAAATAAGTAATTTTATAATTTACTTAAAAAGTAATTCCTTAATTCCTTTAACTTTTATATTAGTGTATTATTGTGTGTATATATATACATTATACATATACATACACATATAATCATAAGTAGATACTCTTTCCATTTCAAAACTGGTTTACTTATTTCACTTCTTATGAATTATTAATAATCTATATCAAGGTAATAGCAAAGACAATTGATTTCTCCTTCTAAGCCTCTTGTAAGATCAAGAACCTCTCAATTACATTTCAGCTCTCAAGCTCTTACATTAAATGGCAGAGATCACTTAAGTGTAAGACAAAAAGAAAGAGAATGATGATATTGTACTCTGAATACTTGTACCACATAATTAAATGCAGTGAAACAAGACGGTGAAATTTGAATTTTCCATTTTTGTTTTATTGCCTTATGTGGAGCGTTTATATCCAGAACTGATATTATGACACTATACACCAGTGCATCCTTTCTGGCTCTCTGTAGCCATCATCTGTTCTTCTTGGTCCATTCTGATTGGTCAGTTTCTGTGCCGTGCATGTTGTTAAACACTTTGAATAACACCTCTCCTTATCCCTAAAATTACTTTAATTATTAAAGAGATTGTACTTTTGTTACTTTTTGTGGTACTTTTTCAGGGTTACGTTAGAAACAAAGCAACATAGAATAATTTGCATTGTCTTGTAGTTTGGAAAGAGCATTTGTGTTTTAGCATGATGCCGTAGGAAAAAATGATACGTATCCAATAAAATTATTCTGAGTTCCTCCAACCTAATGATTAATTGCATTTAGTTGTAACATATTCCCTTTGGTATTTCAAACACTTCATCTATCACACAAATAAAATATAAGGTTTTGCCACTAATAGGGGCATCAGACTCCTACTGTACACTGAATTCATTAGATGTATTTGCAGTTTTTATAAGAAATGGTGACATGACTAAATCCCATTGAGACAAGATATATTTAAGAAATATATGCTATATATTACATCTACTAATTTAAGCAACATTATTTTTTAGTTTATCGGTTACTTAACTTTAAAAAAATGATCACAGGTTTAGATTCCTGGACCACTGAAGTCATATGTTTTTATATAATTTATAATCCTATTTATTATATTTTAGACAAAAAGTATTCTTCTCTTTATCTTAACAGTGTCCCAGTAAAACATTTGGTGGGTTTGACTCTACAAAAGACCTCCCTGATGATGTTATAACGTTTGCAAGAAGTCATCCAGCCATGTACAATCCAGTGTTTCCTATTAATAATCGTCCAATAATGATCAAAACGGATGTAAATTATCAGTTTACACAAATTGTAGTCGATCGAGTGGATGCAGAAGATGGCCAGTATGATGTCATGTTTATTGGAACAGGTAAATGTTTTAACTTCAGCTCGAAGTTTTCTTCCAGCATATTGCGTTTAACTGATTAAGTCTACTAAGAACTGAGGGAAGTTTATATAGTCACTCTCAAGGTATAGTTAACCTGTAATAAATGACAAAAAACCTGAACATTATACCATTACAATGTGTTATCTTTCTAGGCAAGTTGACATGTATTAATTTAAATAGAATTTCCTTTTCAATCAAAGTTGATAAATGTAACCAGGCAAAGCTAATGATTAGGTGAACAATCAATGTTATTCTGTAATTGAATCATAAATCTTTTCTGGCCCAGGGCTTTTTAAAACAAAGGTCTACTGCTCAAGGCAGGTCTAAAATTCCCAAGACATTCAATAACGATTCCAGAATATATTGCTGCAAAATGATCTGAACTTTAAAATTAGCATAGAGTGCAAATCTTCTAAAAAATAAATTTTGGCAACAAAATTTGTTCAGTGTTTTTGCCAGACGATAAGAAAAAACAAAACAAAACAAAACTTCATCAGAAAAAACAAAAAAAAATGAACCTAAGGAATCATCAGATACATTTTAGATCCATTTCTATAGAAATTAACAACATATTTTTATTAATTCCATGGTTAGAAACAAACTTTTTGCAGGTATATTTTCAGAACAAATTCCATTACTATTGTGGCTTATTATTTTATTTTCCCCCTACTCTTTTTAATAATACTATTTTGAATGTACTGATTACAAATCTGAAACTTGCTACTTCGGGTCAGAGTCCAAGGTAATAAATTCCTAGTCTCTATTAACGTTGTTAACTGACATAAATCAATGGGAAACAGAGTGAGTGCTCCACTGAAAACTTTGTATAATAACATTTATTTTCCCTTGGTGAGAAACAGAGAAAAAAGACTGCATTAACTACAGGGGAATGGCAACTGTGCAGTAAGTGCTTTAAAGACAAAGTTTTATAGTGAAATACTTATGTTGTCAGATATAACGGTGTCAGGTTCTGAGCAATACCTTTTAGTCTACTTTTGTGAATGAGAGTTTCTCTAGCAAATAAAAGAATCCCAATGAAACTCAGAGTTCAATAAAAGTCAATGAATTGCAAGTATCAACTTTTGGTTATAAATATCTTTAGAAATGATAAGATAATAGGATTTATCCTATTAATATTAATATTAGCTTATCATTTAATATCAGATTATAATTACGTCTCTCTACAGAGTCATTAAGTTTGTTAAATAATGTCACACTTGTCTTTTTTTTCACTTCTGGCCTAAACATATTGAGAATTCCCTCACTTACTGTCAACGCAACAAAAGCTTGCTTCTGGCTCTTTGACCAAAGAAACCCAAGCATGAGTTTTTAATTCCTTTTGGACACAAGCTGTCTTTAAAGGAAACAGTTTCATGAGCATGTTGAATGTCTGATGATGTGGATGGCTATCAGTCAGCACAGACCAGGGTCATCTGTCAGCAAAGTAAATTGATTACAGTAATTTTATCTTTTAACTAAGTTGCACATCATAGTATATTGATCCTAGTTGACTAACCTCATTCAATTTGTGTGAAATTTTTTGAAATACTACTCGGTAAAACTTGACCTGGAACACAGATAAAGTTATGTTTGGACACAGGAGACCGATCAGAGGCACTGAGTAGATTAACCTAATTTACCTTTAATCTTCGGTGTTATGAGTAGTCTAAGGTCCTGTAAACACAGAAGGATCTTCTTAAAAGAGAGTTTTGTTTTCTTTTTACTTTATAGGGGATATACTAGCAACCTCTCTGGATCTCACATAGTACATCATATTGATCCCCTGAAAATGCTTACCAATGATATAAATATATTGAATCATTTTCCTAGTATAACTTATTCTTTACTGGCAAGATGTTCTTCTCAAATAATTAGTCTGTTAAACTTGATTAAAATGAGCCAGTTGAAGCTAAAAATAATTGATCAGCTAATCAGAACTAGAACCTTGAGTAAGGCCCTGTTCTTCATTCAGTCAAGGAAGAGGAACGTGCTGTGAATAGTAGAAAATTAAAATCTTCCTAACCCAACTTTGAGTAAAATTGACAGCTCTTGTCATTAGAACAATTTGTTTCTTTTAAAAATGAAAATTAAAATAAATAATGCTTGAAATCTCTATAAAATATATTGTTTTTGATTCATGCTTCTGAATTTTACATTTACTTAGTACTCTAAAATTGATTAACCAATATATTAATCAAACTAATATGTTAACCAAAATTGATTAACCAGTTATTGAAAAACCACTGTAATAAGTAATCCAAGGTGTTGATTTTGAGAAATCAGGTTATTGTCATGCATCACTTAGTGGTCATTGAGCTGTCTTTAAGGGCGGGGCCTTTAAATACTAAATGCTGTCAGGTGACAGGAGGATGAGCAGTTAGGCTAGGAAGCTCTTAACTGCTTCTGTTACTTGACAACAGCCCTTGCATTTTGCATCTACATTAAGTCTTCATAGTTGTCCCTGATTTCATAAACAAAAGTGGAAAAACATGTCATATCAAACTGGTATTATTTTTAGGTTTTTTTTCCTGAGATACCTAAGTGAGATAAAAAATAATAAAAATAGTTAATCCAACCTATTGATTATTATATATACTTTTAATTATGCAGCCTTAGGATAAAACTATCTCCAAACCTTCATATATTCCTAAAAATTCAATTCTTTTTATGCCATGGTATGTTTGTAGTTGACCTAGTTGCATGAAATGCATTTGAATATATATTTTACTAATGCTGTAATGAAAAAATAAAAGGAAAACTGAGGTCAAAATGTTCTCTTTAGTCGAATACTGTTTCCATTCATTAACGCTAAACTCTGTTTAGATCTATTTAAATTGTGGTCTTCTCCACTTTCTTTCAAAGATGTTGGGACCGTTCTTAAAGTAGTTTCAATTCCTAAGGAGACTTGGCATGATTTAGAAGAAGTTCTGCTGGAAGAAATGACAGTTTTTCGGGTGAGTGCTGCTTAATTTCAAGTGTCAACAAGTTCACTCGTATGCCTTTCCCCCAGGACAGCTGCACACTGAAATTGGTATGGACAAGTAGTCTAGCATACCCTTCTAATTAGCTTGTCAATTAGAAAACCAGACAGTAGTCAAAATAAACCTGGAAACTTTCAGTGCTAGTTAAATCTAAAAATGCAAAGAAATATATTTTTGGCTCATATTTTGTTTTCTCAATGATAAAATATATGATTTACATCTTATATGATTTATGTAAGATATCTCCATGGACAAACTCTATGCACCTCTCACCCCCAAAATCTTCTCTTTCACACTTTGTGGTATAACTAGGATGATAGGTGGCTTCCAGAGGAATGAAGACATTTCAATCTTTTTTTAGCTTATTTATGAATTGTTTTATCATATTTTCTTACAGAAATCATTTGTTAGCAAAATCGTTTGAGGTTTTTGTATCACTGGTGGCACATTTGTTAAGGACTTCTAGTCTATACACTTAAGAAATAAGCAGATATTTGACCCTTTGTCCTGAACATGGACACGGATGGCCCAGGTAAATTTATATAGGATTAGGAGTAGAGGCAGCAGGATATGGGTTGAGGTGAGGTGGGAAGAATAGAAGTAATACAGCATATACCACAATATCTGTTGTTCCTTTTAGAAAGCCAGCTAATACGAAGAGTTTGAATTGAAGCATACCTTAATATGAATTATTTATGAGATATGAGACAGAAGCAGATGCTTATAAAAGGTTTATTTCAGAGGGCCGGCCCAGTGTGCAGTGGTTAAGTTCACACTTTCCACTTTGGCAGCCCCGGGTTCACTGGTTCGGATCCCAGGTGTGGACATGGTACCTCTTGGCAAGCCATGCTGTGGCAGGCGTCCCACATATAAAGTAGAGGAAGATGGGCATGGATGTTAGCTCAGGGCCAGTCTTCCTCAGCAAACAGAGGATTGGCAGCAGATGTTAGCTCAGGGCTAATCTTCTCCCCCCAAAAAATAAATAAAGGTGAAAAAAAAAGTTTATTTCAATTTTTCATAAAAGAATAAGGCAAACATATGAGATATTTATAACTGCAAAATAAACTGGAATCAGAAGAATTTTGTGGATAGAAAATAAGAAAACTTTGGATCTAGTCCCACAACTTAAAATTATCTCATTTAGTCTCCAGGTGTCTCAGATGCTTCATCTCTACAGTGAGGCAGCTGGATTGAAGTTTTCAGCTGAATAAATATTTTGAAGAGAAAATGAAATACAGTATTGGAAGTTTCTAATATATATTCATTCAATTAAAATTATGATTTGCATTGAAAAAGACTACTGGTAAATCATGACATAGACATCTTGTAATGGCAACTAAATAATGCTCCAGTGGAAATAGTTTAAGCTTTTCAGTAATAGATACCACTGTGCTTCCCCATCAGTGAAACAGTGAGAATAATATCTACTTCCCAAAGAGGCTGGAAGAATTAGAAGCACTATATGTAAAGCATCGAGGACAGTGCTAGGTACTATGTTCAACATTTTATTGATAATGTAATTTTATTGTTTCCGTTCAGCTATACTGAAAACAAGCCACACTTCCAGCAGCCTTTGCTACTAACCCTTGGTTTAAGTCTTCAACATAGTAATATCAGCAGAATTCTATCAAGATTTTTTAAATCAGGTACTTTGGCCTTATTTTATTTATGTCTGCTGTACAGTGATGGCTAATCTCTATCGTTCACTGTCTCATTTCAGTATTTACATATTGATAGTTTAGCCCACAAATTCAAAAATACAATTATCCAAAGGCATTGTGTTAGCAATATAGAATCCATGCAGATTTAGCAAACAAATTATGGACACTGAGTGGTAGAGAAATAAATTGCTGTCTTATGTTCATTGTTGTGTATCCAGAGCCTAAAACATGTTTTCAACCAACATTTATTAAATGAATGAAGGAGTCGATATTGATGAAAAGATGAAATATGAGAAATTAAATAGTTTAAGGCCTTCCTTAGGGAGACCATGCTTAAAGTGAGGTGCCAGAGTATGAGGAAGATAAACTGGGAACAGCAGCAAGTTAGCCTGATGATTACATCCCATATTATTCTATAACAGAAAAAAAATTACCAATTCTATATCTTTGGAAATTTGTATTGCCACCACTGCTGCAAATGGAGTTAGAGGAGATACTAAAATATTAAGTCAACTTAAGAATTTCTTAATTATTTCCAGAATCTCTTATTTTTATATTTATCATGATTCATTTACATATTTCCCTTCATTTGTTGTATATTATTAAACCGAGTTTGATTTACTAATTCAACTGTAAACAAACATGTATTCTATGTACCATGGTCCTGGCACAATGCTGGTGATTCAGAGATGAACGCTGTAAACATGGTCCCTGACCTTATGCAGCTTACAGTCTCTTACGTGGTATCTCTCATAGTCTCGAGGACTTAATGTATTATCTACTAGTACAATTAAGTTTTATCTTGTAGAATTATATCAAGTCCTACCATGCCATTTTAAAAATAAGGCTCTTTCTTTTCTATCATTTAATTATTGTCTGTGATTTTATGAATCAGAACATGCATAGTTTTGCAGTAATACCCTATTCTTGCTAATATTCATTCCCCACATCTCAGGAATTTTTAATTTACATTTCACATTTTAGCTATGTTCTTTAGTACGTTAATAGAAATTTTAGTTTAAAAAGATATTAATTAAATCTGATCTATTAAATAACTTTAAAAAATCTTGAGATGTTGGGAGTTAACAATCTTGCAAGCACAAATATTTAATATCTATTCGAGTTTGTAAGTATTTTACAGTTTCCAGAGAAATACACACTGAATTACACTTACGAAAGCAAGTGAATGACATTTTTGTGATTTTTAAGATATCATGAGAAAAATTCGTTATCCGTCTCTAACCATTAAGTGCAAATAAGTAAAATTGTGTTAGCATGGAAATGATAGTTTATCAGTTTACAATTTTGTAAAAAGACTTTTTGCAACCTGGGACACATCTCTTTCCATAAATAAATGTCCCAGTTCTCTTTCATATTCTCTTCTGAGCATTATTGCCATTATTATTCCTTTGGCACTCAAGTAGACAAAACATATTTGGGCAGAGTTTAGAGAAATATTTACTTTCAGCATTCTATTCTTTCAGGCAAAGTTCGTACATGTATTGTGGTCTAGCAATTGGAATATTTCACTGTCAAACTTTGTTTAATTTTGCAGTGGGAGGAAAAAAAAATAACACATTAAAGCAATTGCTATGTACAGTGAAAGAAGCAGAGACATGTTACAGTTTTAGATTTCTCTTAGAGCCTTGCAAATCATTCTATTTAACATAAAATAAAATTAAAAAAGGTTAACCTGAGCATTATGCTAGTTTGACAAGGTAAATAGGCAAGGGACAGATTTAGGGTCATAGTAGCATCTGATACTCTAGATTTTAAAAAGAAAGACATTGAATGTCAACCAACCAGTTAATTTTACCATAATATCATCTCCAGGAGACCATGTTCATTATGTGTCCTTGCTAGACTGAATAACCAAACCTCATATAAAATCCTGAATTAAAGCCAGTACTATATCCATTGCCATCTTGAGGTTGGTTTTAGGAAAACATCTTGGCTAATCACAGAACATTCCAGTGGTTTCGGTTACTCCAAGATACTTTTATTCTGGGTAAAATCAAATCCCAATCAGAGAATAGAAAAAATATTCCTCGATAATAAAACTTTTCATTTTAAAATAAAATTTTAATAGGTAATAGGAAGTGAAATAAAATTGGCATTGGTATAGGACTCTCGAAATGACTTTGAATTGCAACTATATATTCAAAATGGTATTAAAGTACTAAGACACAAACAATTCCAAATATTACTTGTAATCACAAATCTGCATTTGAATCATATTTACTATGTGATTCGGAACAAGATGGTCAAAGTCAGTTCAGCCTCAACTTCTTCATTTCATAAATTTTGAAGGCTTTTTTAAAATTGCAGATTAGTTACTAGTAGATGGTACCTATTGTTCACTAGTTATACAAATGAAAATCTATTTTAAAATGCTTGAAAATGCCACATCTATATTTCGTTAAAAAATATTCAGAAGGTACAAAAGCCACACATATGCTGATTTTTACTTTACTCAATGTGGGATTTTCTATCCAGTCCAGTCAAAGAGGGTTTACTTTTGAGATAGTGACGTGTTAGATCAAGTTGCAGTGCATTTAGTACAAAGGGTTTTGTTTATAGTCCTACAGACTGCAAAGGATTGCAAGGCAGTTATGTCGATTACACATGCATTTTAAATCCAATTTATGCAATATTCCATGAACGGCTGAGCAAACAAATGGAAGAGTTTAATTTTCATTCAAATGTAAAACATAACTGATGCTTTCCAAAACCTAGTCTATTAACTAGTTCTAAAGGAGCGTCCACGTGCTTAGCATCCAGGGAGCTATGTGAGAGTCTCCTGGGATCAGCAGGTTGAAAAGCTCTGCAAGTGCAAAAGTTTAATAAGGACTAGATTGAAATATCTGAAAAAAATATGGTAAATTAGAGTCATAGAAAATCTTGAAAGGATGCTAAGTTTTTAATTTCGTTTTTACTCGAACACCAATTAAATTTGCAATTGAAACCAGTTTCATGAAAAAATGCTTATGAAGCTACATCTATTTTAAATGGAAGTCATATTCACCACCGGCTATTTCTCAGAAAAAAATATAGCTTATTTAAATGGATGTCATCTTAATATATTGTCTATTAAAATTCAACTGCAGGAGCAAGTAGCATATTCTATTCCAAACTGTTATTAATTTCCTAGTTTGGAAAATAAATAAGGTTCTTTTAACTAAGAGATCCTAGGATCTTAATTTAAGAATGTTGAAATCATAATATGGCACAGCAGAGTTTGGTTTGTACTGGAGTTGTCTTCTTTTACAAGTTATGTATGAAATAATTCATTTTCATCCACCTGATAGATACTTAATTTTTCATATTTTCAATGAACATGAAATGTATGAATATTAATCAGCTTCTCTTTTATATAGTTTCACTTAAGTTTTTAAAAGAACTGAGACAGAGCTAACTTTCACTTCAGTTACACTAGCTGTTAATTCTCTAAGAAGCACTTTCCTTGCACCTTGGCTTTAAAATTTATCTCATGGAAGCCTGCATGAAGGTAGCTGCTTACCTAACCACAGAACCATTTCTCATGTGAAGCTGTTGCAATGGAAGAAGTTGCTGTGGGAAATTTTCCTAACTCCTCTAAATTCTATTTGGGTTCACTGATTCCAGTATTGTACAAACCTAAATAAAATAGTCAGCTTTTGTCTTTTTAAGCTAAAAATCTGGGATGAATTGTCTCCTTGATTTTTGTGATATGATGCTATTAAATTCTAAAGATCATATCTCTGCATGGAGAATATTGGTAGATATTCCTTTCACTATAGTTGTCTTTATGACTGATAATTCTTATAGAAAATTATTTTAATATTATTAATTCAAGCTATGAAAATGGGAAACTATGGGAAATCTCTAAATTATTCTGTTAAATGAATTCACATCCTAACCCATTTATTTCATTTGTGTCTCAGGCAGGTTGTCTTAAATTTGTTAAGAAAATTCCATCCTCAGATTAGATACTAGAGTTTGATGAGGAAATTTGCAATTCTGCAGCACACCGGGGTAATTAAAACCACAAGAGTGGACAAGCTCACCAGGCAAAGAATGTAGCATCCAAAAGAGAGAGAAAGGGAGTCAGCCAGGGAAGGCAAACATGTGAGGAATGGCTGGAGGTTGAGAAGACTTGGAAAAAGGCTAAGAATAAATAGTCAATAAAGAGTTCCAAAGCATAATGAAATTTAATACAGGAAGCAGTTGAGAAGAAATGAGTGATCAGTAGTGCCATATGAAACAAAAAAGTCCAGTAATAATAATATAGACTGAAAGTGTCCATTCAGCAACACAGTTCATTGGTGATTTCTGCTTCTGAGAATTGTAGGCTACCTCTCTATTGTAAGGGCTAGATTCAGTGGGCTGAGGGATGAATGGCACTGAATGGGACATGAACAAGTAAAGATAGTGAGTATAGAATATTTAGATTATTTTGGGGGAAATTCTTGCTAAGCTTGAAGGAATAAAGAAAGACTTTTTTAAAAGATGGCTGCCTTTATCTAATATACAAATCCAGTGGAAAGAACAGACTATAACAGGGAGAGTGATAGATAGGAGAGAAAGGGGAAAATTGGAAGAGACTTCATTCACTCATTCATTTATTTAACAAATATTTATTGAGAACTTGTAAATACCAGGGACAATCCCAGGTGCTAGGGACGTGGCAGTCAATGAAACAGGCCCAAATCCCTGTCCTGAATTAGTTGGGGGGGGTGAGGTGTGGAGAAAAACAATTAAGAAGACATATGAGACGCCTCTGCTACCCCTCCTCACATCTGATCAGTCTCACTTCTAATTCCCACTGTGTGTCTGTCACTTTCTGCCCCAGGACTTCTCTGATAGCAAGTAAAAGGGCAAGTAAGAGTCACAACTGAGTGTGGGACTAATGGAATGAATAAATACTTTGTGCAAAAATCAGTGGGCAATTTTGAGATCTATTGTCTACTATCCTCAGATTTTCTCTCAGTGGTGACTTCCATGGCACATCTTTTTATTGACTTTTTCTCCTTCCTCTCAATCCTTAGTTCCTCGCTCCTGCTCCTTATCTTGCAGATAAGAGCTTACCTCAGACTCTGCTTCAGGGTATGGGGGAATCTCACAAGACACAAGATAAATGCCATATATATATTTATGTATCATATATATACACATAAATGTAATACATACATATGTATTTCCAGATGGTGATAAGCGCTAAAGAGAAAAACTAAAGCAAGAAAAGGATACGGAGCTGTGTGTGTGTGTGTGTGTGATGAGAGAGAATGAGAGAGGAGAGATTTGAATAAACACTATGTGCCAAGCACATTTGTAAAGTGCTTTACATTTATTAACTCATTTAATCTTCTCAACAGTCCTATGAGGAAGGTACCATCATGCTTATTTTTGAGATGAGAAAATTGAATTACCAAGAGATTACATACCTTGTCTAATATCACACTTCTGCTCTGGTTTGAGTTACTAGTTGAATCTGTGCAGTTTGGCCTCAGAATCCAACTCTACGCTTTCTTCAGGCTCAGCTTTAGTCACCTACACAGTGATGTCTTTTAAGATTATTCTTCCCACGTGAGCCTCTTTCTCATCAGCCACCTCTGAAACCGCCAAGCAATCTCCTTCTTAGCATTGTGTTTGTCACTGATGAAAGATATAATGGAGCATAGTTCAATGAAAATGAATCTAAGACAATATAGGCTAATGTGTTCAGGTGAATAGCCTTTTGGTGGTCTAAGTTCATCAAAGAACAGTACTTATTTAGGCAGGCTACATCTGCTCATGATAGGCTTCGGTAGAACACTTAATGAAGTGTATTGGTGATTATTACTTCCCTAGTTATTACTTCTCTAGATTAGCCTGTTGATAGAAATTGAAGAGATTATGTTCTGGCAAAGACCTAAAGTGTAGGCCTTTACACATTAAGCAGTCATCTTAATAATAAAGTGATTTCATCCCACTGAGCTTTCACAGTCCTTGATAGCTGGAAACTGGCTAATACTATCAGTTCCAGCTCCTTATTGATGTCATTAGGAGCTGGCTTGGCGCTGTCAGCTAAGCCACGGTGTTCTTCAGTTGAACATAAAAATTTTCACAGAACACCAACAGCAGAAGGGGCCACTCTGAGATTATGATGAAGCAAGACCATTCTGTTAATCAAGTGTGAACACAGACAAGAACATAAACGTTACGAAAACCACAAAAATGAACAAATATCCCCCTTCCTGCCTGTACGAGTGATTGCTACCTCTTTACAAATCACTGCTCTTAGCCTCACTGTTCTTCCCTCCTTCTAAATAAGACTTATGCAGACACCTCATAATAAAATTACCTCTGTTTTTTTGACAGCATCCAATGCAGAGAAAAGCCCGACTTCCTTGAACCCTTCTTAAAATCACTTAACACAAGCCCAAAACATAGAAGTCCTTTCCCACAGTCTCTTACTGAGCAGTCCCATGGTCTCAATTATTGCAATGAGCAATAAACCCAACTTGGTCAACTACTGGTATGTTCCTGATGGTCTTTGGCTGGAGGACATTAACAAACCCTTATTGTCTGCTCCACACATTTAACACTTATCTATGGAATTTCCTTCATGTGTTTTATTTCCCAGTTATCTTGCTTCTTGTGGGTACTAAAGTTATCTCTCTGAAAACTTATGTTAGTGCCCCATGTTAATTAATTAATAACTGACTTTTCTGATTGACCAAACAGTTCACATTTTCTTTTTCTTCTTTAGGAACCAACTACTATTTCAGCAATGGAGCTTTCCACTAAGCAGGTACTATCATTATGTATTACAATCAGTCGCTATCTTGCTAATTTTGTGTTCCAAATAATTTTTGGAAATTTTTTTGAAAAAAAATTTGATCCAGCAAATTTTACAAATTTATTAATAATTGTTCAAAAAAACAGGAGAAAAGAAAAAATATTCGTATAAAAAGCTAGTAGAATGAAATAAAGATAAATTTCATTGCTCCCATATTTTTAAGCAATTTCATATATATCCTATAAATACATTTCTTAGATCATTATTTCTCGCAAATTTCATGTATAGCATTTCTTTTATTGGTCTTTGTAATATAATTTACTCAATGATATTTTTCATCTATCCTTTGAAAATAACATTGATGGATATTTCAGAATATAAATAAGTTTATAATTCAATTTAGTTTGCATATCTAAACAAAACACATTTTATAGGCTAATAAAATTATGCACTTTACTATATGTGTTTGGAGGATCCTGAGTTAAAAAGTTAATTTTACTTTTTCAGTAGTATCGTGTGCTAGAGAAAACATTTATTTGGCTTAATATAAAAGGAAACCAGCAAAACGATCACTGCCAAATGATGTTATTAAACTTCATGAATTCAAGGGTTAAGGTCAGCATATTAATAGTCTTTCCATTCACATTGAATGAGTGTTTTGGCAAGACACTTAAGAAACACAAATGACTTCCAAATCCTAAATGATATGTACAAAATAAATATAGTTTTAACTTGTAATAAATTACCTTTTCCCTATAAATGTTATAGACGTTCTATCCAGTATATCAATGGTAACTACAAAAAAAGAGGCTTGGATACTGAGTTGAAATTAAGTATTAAATAACCTAGGAGGAAAAGCCAGAATGGAGTAGGGAGACCTCACTCGCTGCCATGAAAAGTTATATCCAAAATTGTTAACTGTGAGAATCATTTGGCTAATCTATTCCTGAATTGTTTACGTTTCATCGCTGACCATATATTATCCCTTGTTCAAGACACTAAAATACTGTGCCAATAAAACTCAGCATATGTTCTTTCCACGCGTACGTATCAAAAGAGATTGATAACCTCCAAGATATTTAGAGAAACTCAGTGCAGATATTATTGACGTGATACTGTTAACTTACACTTCATGAGTATGTGTTCACCTGTACCTGTAATTTAAAAATTGTCCAATGTTGGCAAGGAAATCTGGGGATTTCCAGGATGGAAGCTAGACTGGGATATTCTTTCTTGTAATGATTTTTTAAAAAAAGTCACCCCCCTCCTCAAAGCCCCAGTACATAATTGTATATCCTAGTTGTAGGTCATTCTGGTTCTATATGGGATGCTGCCACAGCATGGCTTGATGAGCAGTGGGTAGTTCTGCTCCCAGGATCCCAACTGGCTAACCCTGGGCTGCTGAAGCAGAGTGTGCAAACTTAACCACTCAGCTATGGATCTAGCCCCATTATTTTTCATTTTAATTTTTTTTTTTGGTGAAGAAGATTGTCCCTGAGCTAACATCCATTGCCAACCTTCCTTTTTTGCTCGAGGGAGATTGTTGCCAAGCTAACATCTGTGCCAATCTTCATCTATTTTATATGTGAGATGCTGCCATAGCATGAGCTAATGAGCAGTGTGTAGGTTCTTGCCCAGGATCTGAACCTGCAAACCTGCAGCCACCAAAGCAGAGCACGTGAACTTAACCGCTGCACCACTGGGCCAACACTCGCAATGATTTCTTAAAGTATTTATTCTCTAGTAAGCTTCATTGCCAATCTTAATTATATTACATCTAGTTTTGTAAAACCTTCCTTTCTTTTTAAAAATTTTATTTTTTTTGTGAGGAAGATTGGCCCTGAGCTAACATCCATTGCTGATCTTCCTCTTTTTGCTGTGGAAGATTAGCCCTGAGCTATCTGTGCCCATCTTCCTGCATTTTGTATATGGGATGGCACCACAGCATAGCTTGATGAGCAGTGTGTAGGTCCATGCCAAGGCTCTAAACCTGAGAACGCTGGGCCACCAAAGCAGAGTGTGTGAACTTAACCACTATGCCACCAGGCTGGCCCCATTTTTAAAAGTTCTTAAAGCAACCTTAAGAATTACCTATTAAATGCAAAACTTTTTACCAAAAAACAAACAAAAAGTGTTTATCAATTTACAATACCATGATAGAAGAAAGTGTCCCCAGCCTTCATTTTCCATTGCTAGAAGTTTGATTTCTTCCAGAAGAGACTCAATTTCATTCATGCTCATGGACATTTTAAAAATGAGGCAGTAGTTTCAAGAGGGACAAGCAGTGTTACAACTAATTTTCTGGATAAATGGACTCATCTCCTGCTTATGACCTGCAGCTTGTTAAGGAAGATAGTGAGAAAGCCTGTGGTGATGTTAAATTGGGCAGAAAAATCACATCAGGTTACTTGTTAGTGACTGGATTATGCTCAATGATGTCTGCAAGCATCCCTTAGATTTCATTTAGCTAGCATAATTCGTTCTGCAAATCATTAATAATACTGCAGAATAATTATAAAGTAAAAACTTGACATTGAATTGTATTTAAATTTTGGCATTTCATCACACTTTATCATTACAATAATTTCAGTTATCATATTTTTGGTTTTCTAGTCTTCCCATGTATTATTGTGATTTTCTCCTAAAAGGATATGACAGATCTAGCTACCGTTATTTAGATAATAACAACTCCTTTGCTACTCAAATGTTATATTCTTAGAAATCTATAAGTATGCATTTTGTTCATGCTTTTTAACTTATTGGCCAAACATTAAGATCTTTTGATTAGGTATGACCAATTTAATCAGTAGTTTTTTAAATTTGTAGTTATGACCACAATTGTGGATAGGCATGCCCATATTCACCAATAACAATGATGCTTCTGGATATTGGCACCCCATTTTAGCTAATTTAATTGTTGTTTAAATGTGTTTGTTTCATTTTCCATCACATTGAAATTGCTCGCCTTCAATACAATCTAAATTTATTTTTTTTAAAACATGCCTTTGGAAGAGAGAAATAAAGGATAAGAGGGAGAAAAAGAAGTTCCTTCCATTAGTTAAGTTCTTTGTTAATATTTTTCAAATCATAGCTGACCGTTATCACATACTGCTTCTGTAGATGCTTTAAGAGAGGTACAAATCAATCTGACTTTCTCTCAACCAAAATCTTAACAATATTCATCTTTTCCTCCCAGGGACTTTAACTATCATTTCTTAATTTGCTGTGGTATGTAGCATTTTTCAACATGATAAAAGATGAATATAGTAAAAAGTTGAGTATCTGTACTACATACTGTATTCTATATGCTATGTAGAGTATTATGTATTGTAAATATTCTTCATTTAAGGGAATGGAATAGGCAATATTTGTCAGTATAACTGCTTCCACAATGGCTTCACTTTTATTGTATTACTTCTTTGGCCTTACATCCCTTCCTGTGTTAAGATATATGTAAGTTGGTTAGCTTTAAGCACGGAATTGTTTTCTATATAAGTACTCCTTATAACTTAGTAATTTCTTCGTTTCTAATTGTTACATCAGTCTTCATTCAACTTATCTGTTTATTTATATGTGTATTCCATCTTTGAAAGTCTTTTGGAAACACAATTTTAATTATATCCATTGCTGATTGTCAGGCACTTTGTAATATTAAAAGAACAGACCATGGTTCAGAAGCTGGCTTTTCTGTAACTTATTTTTCACTTATAGGAAAATATAATTGTCTAAATATTTATATGGAGAAATTTCACTTATATGGAGAAATTAAAATACACTTTGGAGGTCTTTTCCATGTGTACTATTAGAAGTTTCAGTATTTACACAAGTTTTATTTAAGGCTTACTATAAAGGATTGAATAATCCTTTAGTACATACAAGAAAAGGGAGCTGTGACACCAATTACGGTAGAATGTGGAGAAATCGCAAAATAGTTTTATTTGTATTTCATTTTGTGTTTACATAAATTTGCAGCTGATATGCTACATTCGCTCAACTTTGTTAAAGGCGTTTTTTAAATTGTACTTAAATCCTGAATTAGTTGCTGTTACAAAGGTTTTTTTTTTTTTTTCCATATTCTGCCTCATTCAGTAACTCCAAATTCATTGATGATAATGGCATTGTAGTTCATTGTATCTGAATTCGTACTTTAAAGATTTAGTTAAACATGCTCATTTTATGGAGAAGGAAGTCTTAGAAAAATTATGTGAATGGCTCAAGATCACACAGAGAGTTAATGTAGGGCAAGACCTGGAATCCAGGTACCTCAAAGCCCGATACATACTTTCTCCACAACACTGGAGCTTTTTGTTCAAGTCTACTGCACCAGCCAGCGTGTACTTGATTCCCTTCTTTGATGATCTTTTGAAGGAAAAGTAATTTAGTAGTTTTATTTAAAGTAATCTTCTTGGAGGTAGTGCAAGAACAAGACAGTAATGAGCAAAACTTCTTACACAATCAGGCACCAAAACTTCCTGTTTCCTTCTTTTAGGAGACAACTCTATCCCAGGCAATGTAATAGGGTGCCCACAAGACAGAACCAAAAGATCCCTCCCTACATGGCAATGTAGATAATCTGATCAATCAAAATGATAAACAGTAGAAGGAAAAAAAGCAAGCTATCTAAAAGCAAAAACTGAAAGGTTGAACGTTATAATGCTCAGTGTCTTACTGTATTCTTTTAAAAGGTTATTTTTATTGAAGTATAATTGACATAACTATTACTGTCTTCCTTTATTTTCCCTTGGTTTTATCCTTATTATAAAATACTCCTGTTTCAGTCAAATATTAAGATTTTGATCTTGCTCTATTTTAAATGGTCACATTATCTGCCAGGCCTTTGAAGAAACTACCAATAACAGTATTATATTAAACTTATAAATACAAATTTATTTTTGATAAGTTATGTATAAATAAACATTTTTTTAAGAAAAGAGATTTGAAAACAAGATAGTTTGGGTCCTAACAGTAAGCTCTTTCCACAGCAACAACTCTACATTGGCTCCACTGCAGGGGTGGCCCAGCTCCCTCTGCACCGCTGTGATGTTTATGGGAAGGCCTGTGCCGAGTGCTGCCTCGCCAGAGACCCTTACTGCGCCTGGGATGGCTCCTCATGCTCTCGCTACTTTCCTACCGCAAAGAGGTAGGAGATGTATTGGAAATAAATACAAATATTTTCTATTTATCTTACCTGATTCCATTTTTTGGAACAGCTTTCTTTGTGTAAGTTCATCACCTTTTTCTGATGAATAAAAAGAGGTTTCAGGAGGTTTTGTTTCATTTTTTTTCCCTTAAATAGTCAAACCAATCAGAAAAATGTATAACAGGATAGTTTGGTACTAAACGTAGTGGAACAAATGGTTTTAACAAATTAGTGAGGTAGATCCAAAACATCACAATAATATCCTTGAATGTTTACTCTTGGGAATTATAAAGTTTTTACCTTCATTTTACACAAATGGAAACTGAAAGCCAAAGCCTTGGAGAAAGTCATGATGAGGATCTGGCCTGGGCCTTGAGCCTTTGTACAAAAATGCTCTTTTGTCCAGAAAATGCTCTTCTTTTTCTATCCAACATTCTAGCCTGGTTTTAAAATTTAATGAGGCAATTTGTATCTCTGGGTGAATGGAAAATTCTCAGAGAAATGAATTTATTTACCTTTAGAGTCTTTGAGAGTCCACAGGAACCCAATTATAAAAAGTCAAGAAGAGTTTTTTCTAGTTTTGAAGATATCACATCTTTGTGTGTGATATATATAATTTTGATTAACTAGCATCGAAATATATCTATTTTACCCCCAAATTTTAATACCACTATATTATCATAGTATCATCTCACATTTACAGTTTCTGAACTTGAAATATAAAACCATATAATAAAATATCTATTAATCTGTATATGTGTTATACAACTATTTTAAGTATACTCTTGATAGCATTTAAAAGTATTTTTTTGGATATGCTTGAATAAAAGTTGCTAAGATATATCTGAAAAGTTATCTAAAACAATATGTTTAGAAAAGACATAACTAAGTGACTGTCTGGGAGATTGAAAGCAGTAGACATGGACATTGAATCATTGAACACAGTATTATCTTCAGGAGGGGCGGTTATACTTCAGGGAACTCTTAGACATATCCTAAAAGTTGTACACAAACTTCGTTTACTTTTGCTTTAAAAAGTAAAAACACTTTCTTCATTTGACAAAATAGTCATCTCAACATATTGTCTACTACTCTCTTATGGCTACCTTTCTCTGTGGATATTTACCAATGTTTAGGAAATGAGCAATGATAGATGAAAGTAATGTACAATATCTTGCTAACATAAACCTAAAGATTAAAGGTATGCACATCAACCTATTGAAAAATAAAATAGAAATCAGCATTATTAAGCCACTGCATTTTATGAGCCATAAAATTTACTTTTTATTTTTCATTACAGCTAATATTTTCAAAGAAGCTGTGAACATGGGTTTTTTTTCCTTTGCTAGTGAAGCGTGTTCTACAACATTTGGATTATTTTAAATGTTTGGGAAACAGAGGAAAGAAATAACATGAATTTTTACTTAAATCTTTTGATTACACAATTTAGATAACATTGACTACTGTGTTAAATCATCTGCAACTTAAACCTATCATATAATCAGTCCAGATGGACTAAAACTTGGTCTCTTGTTAATAATACTGTTAGATGTAAATGTAGCATTAGCTCATAACATTTAATAAATATTCACAATTTTCTTAAGCCTTCAACACTTAGAATTGAGATAACATGTTTGTATTACTTTTATATACCTATTGATTTTGTTGGCAACTTAAATCTAAGATAAAAACTTTAGGTAGAGGTAATGTGTTATTGATTAAAGAAAACATGGATAGTTTAATAAATGGCAATATGCAGCTTTACTGCAAGAAAATTAAATTATTTAAGATTAAAATTTTATGATTCTTAAATTCATTTAGCTCTAGGGAGCTTTTAATGTTCCTCAAAAAATGTAGAATTCATGTTTGAACTAAAAAGAAATATTTGCTTTCCATGTGAAAGTGTATAACATTGTCTAATTTAGTAATAATACATTTGAATTTTAAGGTTTTCTTAATAAAAAAGAAGATAAAAATAAATCATAATACATCTATAATAAGTTAAAAACCTGTATATGATTATATATTTGAAATGCATTTATTGCATACTTACAATCCAAGATTGAAGGAATTATCATTAACACATTTTTGTTATGCCTTACAGATTTTACTTAATCCAGTTTCATGTGTCTTGAAAAGGATGTTTAGAGGTCTTATAATTTAGATATCCTTTGTGATGGCATTTTTCAAAAGTTTAAATGGAAGAAAAATGCCTTCCCAAATGCTTTGTGGTTCGTGTTTCACAAGTCCCCTTGTTGGCTAAATTTTGAAATGTGCAACATCTGTTTGATGGTCTTACCAAATCTACAAATAGAAGTCTATAAATACTTTGGGCTTCTAAATTCATGAATACAGTAACAAATTCCATATATGCAATTCTCAATGGCCTTTATAAGAGCTCTTTTCAGGGATGGTAACTAACTTTGCAGCAAGACAATACGCATTAAAATAGATGCAAAAAAACAGTTGGGCAAGTGTCTTCAATCTTTTCCAGTCTATTACACATAGTCAATCTCCATTTTTAGCCTCTTTCTCAAACTACACATTTTTTTGCACCACAATGGCTAGAACCAACCTCTCCGTCCCTGTTAACCGTTAGCAAAATATAGAGAGAGGATGCCCAGAATGTACTGCAACTAATATGATCTAAAACTAAAAACGAACTTAAAAACTAGATTCCTGTCTTAATACTTTTAAATTTAAAAAAAAAATCTACTTAAGGGATTATATATAAGTATTAAGAGAAAGAGAACATTCATGTGGATTTTAATTTTCAAGCTTAATCCTTTATCAGTGATGAGGGAAAAAAGTTTAATTCTATTTATTGAAGAAATGGGTTAATTTTGTGCTTTTTCCTCAGAATTTAAGATGTTAAGAATTTTAGAGTTTCTGGATGTTACATTCTTATTCATTGACATCCAATAGCAAAAAAACATGAATTTTCTGTTATCAATACTTTAAAAGACTTTTAATGCATTGTTAGTACATTTGTCTACTGGTTCCCATTTTGATCGTCTTGGAGGTATACTGAGCTGATTTTAAAAATCTTTTAGTCAAATGCAGATGCATTTCTTTCTATAAGCTCTTGAAGTCTTTGATTTTTTATTCTTTTTAATTCTTATGACAAATTCCCAAGAGACAATAGAGATACAATAACACCTTTTAAATGTAATTATTTTAGACGCACAAGACGACAAGATATAAGAAATGGAGACCCACTGACTCACTGTTCAGACTTACAACACCATGGTAAGTTACAACAGTTTTTGTCTTTTAACCTGTTAATAGCAGAATAAAATCATAGGCAATAATGCATATCCACACATATGCATGTGGGGCACACACCTCTTCCAGAACACTTAAAGAAATGCAACTAAAGAGAAAGAAAATCTAGGAGAAAGAAAATTCTAAAGAACATAAAGCACTGGATTACGTTTTATTACTGCAGGTATGGTAAATTCCAGCTTCCAGACCTTTATGAGATGTAAAGCTCAATTTTCTCATATTAACAAAAAGGTTTAAGTACATGCTTCTGTATACAGTGGCAACCTGAGAGTAGTAGGCAACAAAAATATTCATTTAGATACATCAAAGAAGAAAATGTGATCTTAAAATAAGAGCTGCAAATTATTCATTAATATGCTGATGATATAGACCCAATATATTGTTATTGGGTACCCTAGTCAAGTAGAAGCTAATTCAGATGCCTTCACACTGATTTACTAGTTTGATATTCCCTTGAACTGAGGATTTTGGAGGAAGTTCATTTTATGCTCCCTAAAAGATGTCAAGACCTCTTTAATGTCAAGTTGCTTATTTAATGCTAAAATATCAACCAATCTTCATTTAAAATGCAGTAATATTGTAGTATATCTCACTCCTCCTACTTCAACCCTTTACAAAAACAATAATGAGTCTATGCTTCCCTCTACTGGGGAAACTTACCAATGACATCACTGCTAATGAACATTCATGGTTAAAAATGGCTAAAATGTCAAATGTAAACATTTTACATGTACTTGAATATAATTATCCTATTAACTTTTTTGGTAACTTTTACATTAATCCTAAAATAAGGTCTGATGTTTTTGTAAATTGGATTTGATCTACTAATTCTCTGTATAGAATATTCTTGTTTCATAAATGTTAAGAAAATACACTGCACAAACAACACCCAGCATGCATTGGAAAACCCAGCTACCTCTCTGAAAGTCAGATCCCCCTGCTGTGTATCCCGCATGTGCTGGTGTCTGATTTATGAGCGTTCACAGTCTTGTTTGGGGGATGCCAATACCAGAGGACATGCAGCCACCAACTGAGCCTATATTCTGGATCCAGTTTTGCTTGCAAAATTTTCCTGCCAAGGACTTACCTGTCTGTTATTTTTCTCATTATAAAGAAAAAATATATCAACAAATTAGAGCACATGTTATCAGTCTTTATCTTTTTACAGATATAATGAATTATTGACACACCCTTCTTAAATGTGTCAAATGCACAGCAAAACATGCACTAGTCTTCCATTATCTATTTCACGTAAAAATATTGAATTATGATCAGCACAGTTTAAGCAGTGCAGTATTATGAAATATTAATTCATTATAAAGAATCTACTTGCTTAGATATGGAGAAGCTAATGATAATAACTGGAAGAAGAAGAAATAAGACAATGTAACTAGATCTCATTTCCAGTCAGACTTTAATCTCCATATCAATATGGACCTTGTTATTTTGTTTACTCTTATCTCTAGGGCTGTAACAGATACAATATCATGAATATCACAGATATTTAATAAATATTTCTTAAGTGAATAGTGTAATATTTCAAGCTGTAGCATAGATACTTGTTTTTATGTTTCAGTAGAGATTTGAACTAAATAGCATCTATTATTTATTGTGAAAATGATTTTTCATACATTGTTATTATTAACACCATCATATTCAGGAACAGAATCTCTCTTTTAAAAACATCATTATCAACCAATCCATTACCTAATAAATTATTATTATACACCTCTATATGTAGGATACTATGCTATGTTTTGAAGATTGCCAGAGAACTATGTATATATCACTGACATATATATATCTCACTGATATGTCTGTGTCTCTGTATCTTTATATGTATTGTAGGGGAGGAAGACATTTCCTCTTCCCAAATGTGGGTTCGTCTGGCCGGAGAACGAATTAAATTCACATGAGACAGAATAGCAAGAGAAAATTAAACAAAGCTTTATGAGGAACCATGGCCCGGGGCCTTTCTTCCCGAAGGAAGAAAGGGCACCGAAGAAGTGGGGTGCACATAGTGGTTATATACCCCCAAACAGGGTGTTTCACATGTGATTGAAATGTCCCTCCCACAATAGTCACAAGATTGCCCTGTCGGCACAGTGCTTGATGGACACAGCAGGTAGTGGTCTGCTATCTCGGTGGGTGTAGCAGGAGGCAAGTCTATCATCTGGAGCTGGGCGGTCACAGGTGAGCGCAGCAATCAGTTCCTAGCCTAAGGAAAGATGCTTAATCCTTAAAAAATGCCAACGTTGGGAGGGGGAGGGAAGTCAGTTACAGGAGGTTACCAGACTAGCACAATAAAATGCAGATTTTAAGTCCTTGCCTTTGGTATTGATTAAGAGTTTTTAGAGAGAAGGTCATCTCCTTTCTTCTTCCTGGTACAGAGAGGGAGGCACCTTTACAGATAGAGATTTACCTTACAAATGTAAACGTGTCCTAACAAAGGGCAAGTTCCATTCCTCAGAGCCTCCTTCCCTGTCCCAGTTTATCAAAAGCAATTAGCCTCAAATAATCCTGATGCTAAAGAGACATGTCTTGGGGTGGCCAATTCCAGGTCCCCACAGTATCTTACTGATACTTCTATTTGTTTAGCAATCCAGTCCCTTCAAAGACTCAGTATTTTTTCAAAAAGATACATATGCTGGAATTATGAGTGTACAATTATATAAGGAACAGCTGATCAAAGGCATATTCATTTTTTTTTTAAGTGAGACTGTGGATAAATAAATGTTGTTGACAATTGCATGAATGGACTTTGGAGAGTGCTTAAGTTGTGCTTTGATGAAATTAGAATGGTGAAAGCCTATAGAAATTGGGAATGTAGAATTGCTTAGCTATGGAAAATAAAATGAACATGAATCAATTTTTCTCCTGATTCTTCAATCAGAATGCATACTGTAGGGAGGAAAGGGAATTGCTATGGTTCAGTATTATGGGTCTATTTTTGGGGTAGAGTCGGGGGTAGAATAAACAACTCTAAGTAGATGCTTGTGATATATGGGAGGAAATGGTAAAATAGTCCAAGAAGCTCTGCAGCAATAAAACATTCCTTTTTTGAAGGCCTCCTTATTCCTTGTCTGCTTGTATTGCTAATTGACCAAGCATAAAAAAATATACACCATAGATTACAATAAATTTCAAATATATGGAAACTAAGTCAGGAATTCCCAAATGGCCAGACTGAGGCTTATCATTAGGAATCAGTGAATTATCTTGGAATAGGTGATGTCAATATTTGAAAGTAAAATGGGCAAAAACCCAGAGCCCAGCTCTGTTAAATCCTATATGATGGCTTGCTAATGTCACATCTCACAGTGAGTAAAATATACGTGCTCATATGGAAATATATAAAGATATGAGATGCTTTCACAGAAAGCTGCTAAGCAACTTGAAGTCAAATTATACACTTCAGGATGATCAGTTCCAGCTGTAATGGTAAACATATTCTGTAACACTCTATATTTCACACATCCTGAGATTTTAACAGAGAGACTATATAAAATAACTCAGAATTAAGGTGGAAGAAATTTTACTCTCCGTGAAACCTTTAACACTCTGCTTCCTCTCATGTAAAGGCAGCCCTAAAGGTGAATTGGCCTAGATGAATGAGAAAAATCCGGTCTGCTTCCCCTTGGTCCAGCACACTCCATCACTGGTGGCTATTCACCTAGGGAAATTTTAGTATAAAACCCTAAATATATATGTGCTGGCAGATCTTCGTGTCTTCCCACTCAGACTTCATACTGAATGCTAAAAAGAAACCTCAGGTTGTTTCCAATACGTTACCTTCCTTAAAATCACTATTGTGCACACAATTGAATCTTGTCTGAATTTGCATTCAAGAGCACGAGTGGGTGAGTCAATTTACCTTTAAACTACCTCGCATTTCCTCTTTACTAAACAAGAATGAGCTGTACTATGAGCTGCATATCCAGAAAGGAAAAAGCTATACCATAAGTAACAACATTTTAAAAAAATTAACATCTTAGATTTTTTAATCTTTGAAATATCTTAGGTCCTAACTTCTAGTTTAACGCCATCATTGAATTTCACTTCATAACAGTTCTCTTGGCTGTTCTACATACATGCATTTTCTTTTTAGCTTCCCAACAATAAAACTCTACAGAATTCAGTCTTCTTAATTATCTCCATGACTAGCTCTTCTCAATTTCTGTCTTGGGTGGCATCAAAATCATTCCAAAATTTCATAAAATGTCTTTGGCAGTGTCATCTTTATGGTCTGCAGAGCTATACATTTAGTATTTTGTAGCAATGCTAGTTTGGTCTGTGCTTTAGCGTCTTTTAAATATATAGAAAATCCAACTATGAATCTGAGTATTTAGCCCCAAGAGAAGCCTCAAGCTTTGATAGATGAGCATGATGTTAGCTCTAAAAAATCCCTAACTTTAACAAATTAATAAATTGTATCAAGTCTAAGATGTCACTGAATGTAAGATACACCATTACTTTATGTACTTCTGAAAAAGAAAAGCTGTCCAAGATGAACAATCTAATAGATAGTCCCGCATCAAGCCAGGACACAATATGTTTCAGCATTAATACAAAGGCGAAATGAACTCCCATGCAGAAGAAGATAGCAAGGAAATTTGCCTGTTTCAACCATAATCATGGGTGGTGGAAAAAACACTCCGTGAATCACAAGATGGTACCCATGAATCTTTACTTTCTGAATTCACACCAACGGGGTGGACCAAAAACTTTAGACAGAGACTTTAACTTAAAGAGGTATTAGGGTAGTCGGATCTCATGTGTCTGACAGAAGTAAGAACAGATTTTTTCTGGGAAATAGCAACATCAACTCACATCAAAAGCAATTGTAAGACATATTCTGATATCAGAGACGTTAAAATATAAAGAAGTGTGCATCTTAGAATGAAATTATTAAAGTATTATTTTTTATGATTTCTGTAAACCCTTTTGAAACTATTTTCACTGGA